AATTCCCATGTGTTCTGGGAGGGACCCAAAGGAAGATCATTGAATTATGGGGGCAGGTCTTTCCTGTGCTGTTCTCATGATAGTGAATGGGTCTCATGAGACCTGATGGTTTTACACGTGGGTTTCCCTGCACAAGCTCTCTTTTTGCTTGCTGCCATCCACGTAAGATGTGACTTGCGCCTCCTTGCCTTCCACCATGATTGTGAGGCCTCCCCAGCCATGTGGAACTGTAAGTCCAATAAATCTCTTTCTTCTGTAAATTGCTGTCTCAGGTATGTCTTTACCAGCAGTGTGAAGAAGAGCTAATACAATATTGATGGAAGATACCAACTAGGACACAGAGGTCAGGAATATACAAGATAAGTGATATCTGCTAGAAATCAATTGATCCAAGACAAGGGAGAAAGGGAGGTGTTTAGAACACAAGTGGGAAGATGTGTCCTACATAAGGAGAGTGTGGCCTCCATTGGAATAGATGTGAAAAGCCTAGTGCAAAGTCAGTACTGCCAGCTATCCCAGGGAGAAGATCACCTTCATGTTTCCAAACCTACTTTGTAGGCTCAACTACCCCTCAGGCAGCTACCCAACAGCTAACCAAGGGCCTCCCACCTTCACTGACCTCATTCCAACTACTTCCATTCTCTCTTTATTCTCTTGTCCTATTTAAGACCTGGTATCCTTCACTCTAGTCCCCCTAATTAGCAAAACAGCTCGACTCATTTGCATTACTTAAGCAGCATTTTCCTAGAAAGTACTGATGGTAATATGCTAATCACAAGGACAGTCTTTAGATACAGGAACTGAAGTAAAAGCACTATAAACTAATTCAACCTCATCTAGTTTGTGGCTCTATTGTTTAAATACTGCCTTCCAAAGTAAACAAAACAAAACCTACACAGAATGTTATTGCCAGAGGGAGTTCAGGAATCCGCCTGCACAGTCTCTATCGTCCATCCTCACCAACCTCAAGTTCTTTTAGCTCAGAGGAGCAAAGTATTCTTTTTTTATTTTCCCATTTATTTATTTTATTGCATTTTAGGTTTGGGGGTACATGTGAAGAACATGCAAAATTATTGCATAGGTACACACGTGGCAGTGTGATTTGCTGCCTTCCTCCCCATCACTTACATCTGGCATTTCTCCCCTTGCTATCTCTCCCCAGCTCCCCACCCCCCACCATCCCTCCCCTATTTCCCCCAACTGACCCCAGTGTGTAGTGCTCCCCTCCCTGTGTCCATGTGTTCTCATTGTTCAACACCCGCCTATGAGTGAGAACATGCGGAGCAAAGTATTCTAAAACCACATGGCTTCTTGATAACAATTATCAAGAACTTCCACTTACCCTCCAAACTTTTAAAACTTCTCCATCAGTTTTACTAGGGCACTAGAGTGCATTGAGAAGAAGACTGCAGCCCCAGGCCAAAAAGCTGGAATTTTTCTTTTTTTGTTGTTGAAACAGAGTCTCACTCTGCCACCCAGACTGGAGTGCAGCGGTGGAATCTCAACTAACTGCAACCTCCACCTCCTGGGTTCAAGGGATCCTCCTGCCTCACCCTCCTGAGTAAATGGGACTACAGGAGCATGCCACCACGCCTGACTAATTTTTGTATTTTTTGTAGAGACAGGGTTTTGCTATGTCAGCCAGGCTGGTCTCAAACTCCTGACCTCAGGTGATCTACCCACCTCAGCCTCCCAAAGTGCTAGCATTATAGGCATAAGCTACCATGCTTGGCCAAAAATCTTGAATTTTTTATTTTTATTTTAAAAATTGTACCTTTATTTTAAGCATCATACAAATTTTGTACCATCCCCTATATTTCTGTGTTTTGTGCTGCTTTTAATAAACTCACCCTGATTTTGTGTACAACTGAGACTCCTGGAGAAAGAATCACATTTAAGTTTCTTCTATCCCACTATTTCAATTTGAAAAAGCCAGCATTTTGAAAAAGATGGTGTCATTCTTGATAATACCAGCCCATTTTGCACACTTATTTCTAATAATTAGTACTGAATGGAACTTGGGTCTGCTTGCCTAGTGCACAGAAAAAGGCAAACAATGACACCAGGATTTGCTACAAGAGAAAGTGGGGCATTTATTGCAGGGCATCAAGCAGGAAGAATCAGGCAGCTGATGATTATGACACAAACTCCCCAGTTACTTACAAGGAATTGTTTTTAAAGGTAGGGCTATATTTCAGGAAAGGAGAAGTTACAGGGAAAATTATAACTTGATACCCCTTGGTTATACATTGGTTTGGTCCAAAAAAGGGGAGTATCTTTGTAACCACCTAAAGGGTTCACCTTACCCACTGCCTTGACAGAGCCAATTTATCAAGACAGGAGAATTGCAATAGAGAAAGAGTAATTCATGTAGGGCTGGCTGTACAGGACACTAGATTTTTATGATTACTTAAATCAGTCTTCTGAACATTTGGGGATGAGAGTTTTTAAGAATAATTTGGTGGATGGGGCGCAGCCAGTGAGTCAGGAGTGCTGACTGGTTAGGTTGAGATGAAATCATAGGGAATCAAAGCTGCACTGAGTCAGTTCCAGGCGGGGGTGGGGTGCAGAGGGTAGCACAAGATCAGATAAACTAGTTTATTAATCTGGGTGGTACCAGCTGATCCACTGAGGGAAAAATCTGCAAAATATCTCAAACACTGATCTTAGCCTTATAACAGTGATGTTATCCCCAGGAGCAATTTGGGAAGGGTCAAAATCTTGCAGCCTTCAGCTACATGATTGCTAAACCATAATTTCTTTTTCTTTTTTTTTTTTTTTTTGAGACGGAGTTTCGCTCTTGTTACCCAGGCTGGAGTGCAATGGCGCGATCTCGGCTCTGGCTAATTTGTTAGTCCTACAAAGGCAGTCTACTCCCCAAGCAAGAAGGGGGTTTGTTTTTGGAAAGGGCTGTTATTGTCTTTGTTCTAAACTATAAACTGTAAACTAAATTCCTCCCAAAGTTAGTTCAGCCTATCCCCAGCAATAAAAAAGGACAGCTTGTAGGTTAGAAGCAAAATGGAGTTAGTTAAGTCAGATCTCTTTCACTGTCTCAGTTATAGTTTTGCCATGGTAGTTTCATCTTGAAGTGAGAGCTTACAGGTCATAGGTAGATTTTTTTGATTTGCAATTGGTTAAGGAAGCAATGCTTTGTCTAAAAACTTGGGGTCGGCAGGAAGGAATGTTAAGGTTTGGCCTATGGGTGTGACTCTCTCCAGGCTCCTTAGGGGAAAAAAAAATAGAACAAAGAATGGTAGTTGGAGTTAAGTCCTCAGTTCCCAATTTTCTGAAGTCTACATGATAGAAGTCAACATTTTACATCTGGTAGGAGGATTGAGATTTCTGAAAATAACTCAAGAACATATGTTAAGATGTTAGCTTTTGTTTCTATAAGAAAATAGACAACATGTGACTCTAACTTACTTGAGTGACTATTGTTTAAACTATTACTGCCTTCTTACTTAGCGGGTTATTCACACACTTCCTTAATTGCTGGTGGCAGGGCAAGCTAGGTACCTTACCTAGAATTTCCCTTGAAAGGACTCAAATCTTTCTTTATTTTCATGGTTTGAAGGGGGTGGGGAAACCCAGCAGGCCCCTGTAAGGAGCCCTGCTTCATCTCATGATCAGTAAAACAAGTCTCTTATCACTGCTGTTTTTATATGTAACTCTTAACTCCCTATTCAATTATAAAATCCTATATGCAGATGTACTGGGTACAATGTTTAGTCTTCCTAAGACTCCTTCCTTTTTTTCTTTTTTTTTTTCTGAGACAGTCTTCTGCACCTTCAGCCCATTCTACTTCCACAGTTATGGTGGAAGCTGTTCTCTTAGTACAACACAGACCACCTCAGGTCACAGTTGATTGACCTGAGTATCTCCCCTGCTTCCATCTCCACCATGGTTGATTGGTCTAGGGATAGGCACCTGATTTAGGTGAGACCAATCAGAGAATTTCCATAGGTTTGGAGGACCCAGAATGAGGATGTCATTTTCTCTCCCATGGCCAAAATAAAAATGATACAATCAGGAAACGTTGGTGGACATTTTTCTACCATGTGAAGAGTAAGCCCAACAAACAGTAAAAAGTAGATGTGAGCTCGAAACAGAGAAGAATACTGATCTTGTTGGAGTTCTACTTCTAGTTTTCCCAAGACCCAGCTGTGGCCCTGCCTTTCCCATGACTTGATATTGTATTCTGGGACTAATAAATTCGTCCTTTGCTTAAGCGACTTTGACAAGGGTGTATGTTACTTGCTACAGGAGGAATAAAATGTAGTAGTTTTTAGAAAGCCTGTGGTGCTGAACAAAGATCAGGGGATTAATAAGTCCTTGTTGATTGCCTGCTTGCCATTTATTGGCTTAAGTCTTGCTGAGAGATACCATCCTGAGAAAATATTGACTGCCATAGACTCCAACCAAGAGATGTAACACAAGGCAATTCACACTTGCAGTACTTGTAAAATTCAAGACCACTGACCAGCAGGGAGAAAGAAAGTGAAAACAAATGAAGAAGCCTCTGCTGGGAGGGCAGACAGAGTGATGGTTTCATCCCAGAATAACACACTGGCAAGGGAAAAGGAGCAGGGAAATCATCTGGGCTAAGGATCAGAAGACCTAAACCTTCATCCTGGATCTACTGCTGACTAGGTGTAGGACTTTGGAACAACCATGGAACTTTTCTTGGCTTGTGTTTTCACATTTATGAATGAGGAAGTTAGAGGAGAAAATTACCGATAAGCTTTTGTGATAGAAAAGCTGAGGCGGCCAGGTGCAGTGGCTCACATGTGTAATCTCAGCACTTTGGGAGGCTGAGGCAGGAGGATCACCTGAGATCAGGAGTTCGCGACCAGCCTGGCCAATATGACGAAATCCTGTCTCTGCTAAAAATACAAAAATTAGCAAGGTATGGTGGTGGGTGCCTGTAATCTCAGCTACTCGGGAGGCTGAGGCTGGAGAATTGCTTGAACCCATGAGGTGGAGGTTGTAGTGAGCCAAGATCGTACCATTGCATTCCATCCTGGGTGACAGAGCAAGACTCTGTCTCGAAAAAGAAAAAGAAAAGCTGAGGTTTCCCCTCCTGCCATTGTCTGAATGTTGTGTCCCCCTAAAATTCATACAGTAAAATCTAATCACCAAGCTAATAATATTAGAAGGCAGGGCCTTTGGGAGGTAATTAGGTCATGAGGGCTCTGTACTCATGAATGAGATTAGTGCCCTTATTGAAGAGCCCCAGAGAGCTGCTGTGCCCTTCCATCATATAAGGACACATAGAAGGTGCCACCAATGAGGAATAGGGCCTTCCCAAGCACTGAATATGCTGGTGTTTTGATCTTGGACTTCACAGCCTCCAGAACTGTAAGCAATACATGTCTGTTGTTTATAAATTACCAAGTCTAAAGTATTTTGTTTAAAACACAAATGGACTAAGACATTTCCCCTTTACTCATGGGGCATTCTAACACTTGTGCCCTCATATTAAGGAAGTTGTGGGATCTCTTCACAGTCTCTCCATGGTATGTCAAGTCCTGCCACAGACACAGATCTACCATCTGGAAAGGGTAGAGAAGGTCACTGGGAAGGTCCTTCCTTAAATGGAATCTTGGATATCACCAGTCTGGACCTGAGACTGTAGGAGAATCTAGGCTTCCAAATCAAGGTGGCAGAGTGACACGCCTGCAGGGACAGAACACTGTGCCAGGTAGAAACAGGAGCCAAATGGAAAGCAAATGTCTGCTCCTGTTTGGTGTGTGATAATGAAGGCCTAGGAAACCTATATCCTCTGTTTAAAAAACATGCACACACACGAAACCAGAAATTGCATTGTCATGTAAAATTTCATTGTTTTAAAATGTGAATGTCAGAAACAAGCAAACCAACCAACCCACTGTGAGGGCAAAAACAACATGAAAGTAGTGAAAAAATAATTTTTTTGACTCAATTTGACCCATGACCTCTGTACAGTATGGTGTATATGTTCAATTATGACTCTGAGCCCCATGATACTTTATCATATCAATCCAGTAGAGCTGCCAATGTCCCAGTGAGTACCACTGGATAGTATCAGGATCAACATATTACGATTGCCTGATTTGTGTAAATGTAAAGTCTACAGTCTGATGGGTGGGGGTGGTAGGGCCAGTATGCATGCTGGTCATATCCAGGATGGTTTACTGAGTATAAGGGCCCTGAGCTTGCATGGCTTCATGACACTTGCTTCCACTGTCCTGCTGCTTGGAGATGTAGTCTTGGACCGGGAACTCTGGCCCTCATCCAAGATCCCATCCTCAGCACTGGTCGAGGTGACTTCTGAGCGAGAGAGCATCCAGAACTTCAAGCCACACCCACATAAGTCATCACAGTACCCTGTATAAAGATTGGGGTGCTGTGGCCTCTTCTCTCCCAAATGAATGTGTATGTGCCTATGTTGTGGTATATCTTAAGAAAAAGTTTGGTTTAATCAGATTAGATCGTTTCATGTTGAACAATCTTTTGTTATGTCCAACAATTTTATAATAAATTTGAGTCATTTGGAAAGCCCATCATTTGTGGGTTTCCACTTATCATCCCAAAGCCATGCAGCAAACGTAATATAATCCACCGATGGCCTTAGACTTCCAAACTTAAACAACGAGCCTTCCAAAAATGACAGAGGGTATGTTTCTCAATGGACACTCCAATTCCCAGTTTCCTGCTTTTATTTCTTCTTGATCCTCTCTTTTGTGAACACAAATCTATTTCCTGGCTGCTCCAAGGTCAGAAGACCCAAAGGAGTCCAAAGTCATTAACCAAAGTCTTTCTTGTGCAGATAAAGTGGTAGCCCCATAAGAAAACTTAAAAGAAATGAAGCAGAAAGTCAGGGGTGAGGATGCTAGAATTAGGTCACTCATCTATATTTAATTCTGTTGGTTCTTTATGCAGCTTAACATTTACTTTCCATTTACCTGTGCTTGTTTTGCTGATAAGGAAGCAAAATTCAGACATTTTAAGTGCCTAGAAAGGAAGGATCTTCCAGTCACCATTTTCGATAAGCCTCTTGGACACGCAGACATATACCTCAAGCTTAGTCCAGTGGAAAAAGATCCAGGATTTTCACCACTAAGTCCCCAGTGTTAGGGATCCCCAGCTCTCATCATCTGTCCCGTTGGTTGTGCTTTGTTGTTCGCTTTGTGCTGCCTACAGCCGAGTTGGCACAATGTCACAGTTTCAGTTTAGGAAATAAGGGAGCGTGTGAAAGTGAACTTATGGGAAACAGCATGTTGGAAGGAATCCTCTGGAAACTTACCCCTGCTTCCTAAAGAGGAGCCACTCCTGTCCTCTCCTCTGTGGTCAAGGAACACCCAAGGACATCAGCCTAGGCGGATAGTGAGCTGTACAACCTGCAGTCCCAATGTTCCATTTGAAAGGTGTTCTAGACTCCTCTTTTCAACCCAGGGCTGAAGGCCGTCTAAGGGATGTAGAAATGCATCAAACAAAGAAGTAAGGCAGGAGGCTTACAGCCCAGGAGATCCTAAAATTATCTACACAGCTTGGAGGATGAAAGGGAGCACCATTCATACTCTTGCAAGGACAAGAGTTGTCCACTGACACGGTTCAGTGTGGTCACCTTCTTATGAACCAAGGAGACAAGCAGTTCTAACCCTGTTTTGATCTTGAGTCCCTTTGAGAACGGGATAAAATGTATGAACTTTCTCCCTGCACATACCTACCAACATGTATACAATTTTACAAAAATATTCAGGAGTTTCAGATGCCCCTTTAATTCATCCATTGATCCCAAGCTGGGAAACCTTTCATAGTAAAGCTAATAATAATCACGGTCTACGAAGCCACTTCTTCCAAAGCTTCCAGTAACTAATAGCAGAGAAAAAGTGGAGGCCCCAGAAGTCTGTGTGTTTCAGGAAAAAACTCTATTCCTATCTCACCTCTAAATATTCTCTGCCTTGACATCATTAGGTCAGTGCTAATGTCTTTATGCTTCTTTTCCCAACTTTCTTCAATCATTACAAGACACTCAATGTTCCCACACCAGTCCTTATGTCCCAAACTTCAATCCTCATGCAGCTCAGGGGCAGCAGGAAAATTACCCCTGCTCACTCTGCCATTATCTAGCACTGTTGCCCAGCTTCATTTTTTCCAAAGTTCTCGACACCACTTCATATCAGTTGTGTTTTACTTGTTTGACCCTGTTAGAATAAAGGCAGGGATTCCTATCTGTTTGTGCACTGCTTTTTCATACGTATCTAAAAATGGTTCTTGGCATGTAACAGGCACTTCATAAATATTTTTTGAATGAAAACCTGATGAATGGAAAGCTAACAGTTATTGAGCTCCTACTAAGTGCCAGGCATGCAAGTGCTTTTACTACACTATTTCATTTTATCTTTGCAACAACCTAATGATGGAAGGACCATTATTATTATTATTATTTATTTTTTCAAGACAGAGTTTTGCTCTGTCACTCAGTGCAGTGGCGCGATTATGACTCACTGCAACCTCTACCTCCCAGGTTCAAGCAATTTTGCCTCAGCCTCCCGAGTAGCTGGAATACAGGTACCCGCCACCACACCCGGCTAATTTTTGTATTTTTAGTAGAGACGGAGTTTCACCATGTTGGCCAGGCTGGTCTCAAATTCCTGACCTTGTGAACTGCCTGCCTCGGCCTCCCAAGGAAGGACTATTATTACTTTCATTTTACAAACAAGGAGGTTGAGGCTTTCAGAGGTTATGGAAGGTCTCCAAAGACAGATAGCCAGTGAATGATGGAGCCAAGATGTAGACCCAACCATCTTACTCCAGCATCTGTGCTCTTAAGCACTGGAGTCTTACCATGGTTTGAAGTCATTACATGAAATATTCTAAGTCATGGTTTATTCTGTATCACAGATGGATGTCTTGACTTCTGTTTTCTTTCTTTTCCTGAGCCATGTTTTCTGTTTTTCTAACAGATTAAGAAATAAACCTTAGCTGTTTCTCACAAACACACACACACATACATACCTCATTTCGTTTCATAGCACAATTGTAATGAGATTTGGAACACTGGACCTTGAAATATTTGATTAGAACAAGCATCTCCATGAAACTACATGCCATTACTCACTTTCTACCACCCCCGCACAAACAATATCCATTTGATGGCAAGTCAGTTTGGAGAGACCCAGTGGTTGCAATTGAGCATTCACAGCATGTTTGGAGTAGAAGCCGGGGAGCCCAGTACACACTCAGAATGTTGCATTCTGCCTGCAAGCCTACAATAGCACATTCATTTCTCATTCATGGGGAAAATGGGACACTTCTAGAAAGAATGGATGTGGGGCAGTTGACTGGGGATTGACCCAAAAGCAAACACATTGTCAACTTGAAAGGACAGACTCACCTTCTAAGACAGAGTTCTCACTGCCTCTAAGATGCTGCTGCTGGGGTAGAGATGCGAGTGTCTAAATCACCAAAAGAAAAAAAATCACGTATGAAAAACCTGCTTTAACTTCCACATTCTCATAAATACCAACTGTGAATGTGCTAAGTAGTCATCCCTTGCTTATTTGTATTAGTGAGATTACTGAGGGTTCAAATTCAAATGAGCCCCTTCTCTTTTCCCCAAAGTCCTAGCAGGGCTTCAAAGGGCCGCATTATGATATTAAAAGTTTCTGATTAAATTCACTCATTTGGTATGCATAGACATGCCAAGAATTGAGAAAGAAAAGAAAAGAAGAGAGAAGAAGAGAAAAGAAAAGAAAACCAGAGCTCTCATTCTCCTGGGGCTATACTTAGAGTACAGCAGTTATGTTTTCTACAGAGCATACTGTTAGGTCATTAGTGCTGAATCAGAGTGAGAGCTGCTGTGCTGCTGAGCCATCCAATAGGACCTGAGATGCAGTAGTGGATGCCCCAAAGCATCTTAGCTACATCAAGTCTGATGGCAGCATTTTTTTAGTAGGACCTCAGAAGTTGTGTACCTCTCACTGGTCCTAGAATCTGGGATGCTGGCTTACATACAGATACCTGGGTCTCCTCATGTGTTTATGAAATTAGAATCTCTGAGAGTGGGGCCCAGGAATGTGCATATTAACAATCTCCCCAGGAGATCCTGATGTTCACCGTCATTTGGTCCCTGGCCTAGTGATCACTGCTTTAGATCCCTAGGCCTACAATGAAATTAAAGGCTTCAACTTGTTACTCTATATTCTTTTCACTTTGGTGATTTTTCTCATGGTGCTCGTTTAAAACCATCTATTTAGGAGTTAGTAGAGAATTTATTAAGAGCTTGGGATTTACAAATAAAAAAAATGGTCAAAATCAGCACTTAGTATTTACAACAACCTTGGACAAGTCACTTAGTTCTTTAAGCCTCAGGCAAGTCATGTTAGATGTGGAGTGATACTTACCTCTTGGTATAGTTGAAAAAATTAAATGTGATAAAGACTGTAAGGTGTTTAGTCCAGTGATAGGCATGAAGCAGGATAATGACGAGGTGGCAGTGGCAGCGACACAGAGACCCAGAGCTGGAATGAGGGGGGCTGACAGATTCATGAGGAGTCCTGGTCTTTAGAATCTGAGAACTTGGCAAAATAAGATAAGAGAAGGGATGAGTAAGTTCATGTGAGGATGTTTGTCAGGAACAAAGAAAGCACCGTAGTTCCAGCAGTTCTAAAAATATATCCCTTAGAACAAATCCAGCCTGCTATCTGTTTGTAAATAAAGTTTTGTTGGCACACAGCCACACGTATTTAGTTATATATGGGCTATGGCTACGTTTAAGCTGCAGTGGCAGGGTTGAGTTGCAAGAGACATCGTCTGGCCTGCAGAGCCTAACATGTTTACTAGTTGGTCCTTTTCAAAAAAAAAAAAAAAAATCTGTTAATCCCTACCCTTAGTGAACTGCCAGAGGAGCTTTTATTTTATAAAGGAAGAGGGGCCCAAGAGAAGAAACTGAATCATGAGGAAGACAAAGGTGCCAGCTATGCTGCCTTGTGCTGCCCAGCAACACGCCACATATACACACTCACACTCACAATACACCTCCATCACAACCTCCACGTGCCCAGGAGACTTCAAGGATTTGTTCAGTGTCCTCCTTCTAAGGGTTTCTCGGGGCACCCATCCTCCAGCCTGGCCAAAGGGAAGGGGCAAGAGGATGAAAGCCACCACACTAAAACCCAGACCCGGCCCTGCCACTAACCAGCTCTGCAACCCTGGGAAAGTCATTTTATCTTTCTGAGCTTCAAGGTCCTCATTTGTAAAATAAGGAGTTTGGAGTTGTTTGAGCCATTTACTAATGCTACACAGAGCCTAAGTTCAGGCCTCTCCTGAAGGGGTTATCTGTCTTAGTGTGCCTGCCAGAAATCAAGGAGTAGAGAGATAAGAAGTTGATTTGGTTACTGGATATCTCTTGGTCCCCTTCCACATCAAGTTTCAGGCTTATACACTGGGAGTGGCATCCTTAATCTCTACCCAGTTTGGGACACTAGTGGCCAATAAATGAATGTTGATTTATATTCATTATGTCCCCTACTCGCCCCCCTCAAATTCCTGGCTTGAAGCCCTATTCCTCAGTGTGATGGTATTTGGAGACAGGGATTTTAGGGAGGTAAGGTGAAATGAGGTTGTAAGGGCGGTGTCTTAATCTGATGGAATTAATGCCCTTACAAGAACAGCATACACCAGAGAGCTCTCTTTCTCTCTGTGAGAGACATGGTAGAAGACAGCGAGAAGATGACCATCTACAAGTCATGAATGGAGCCACAGCAGAAACTGACCATGCCGGCACCTTGGTCTCAGACTTTCAGCCTCCAGAATTGTGAGAAAACAAATTTCTGTTGTTTAAGCCACTCAGCCTCTGGTATTCTTTTATGGCAGCCTGAGAAGATTAATACAATTAGATTCTAGGTGGGGTGACTTTGTAAAAAAATAACATTTGCACCATCCTTTGCTCAAAGGGCTTCTTCTGCAAATGAGGATTAGAAAGAAGTAGTGGCAGACACTGAGTATCACTGTGGCCACCTGAATCTTTCCATCTCATCTAATCTTTCTTTTGCTTGAAAGTTTGTTTTTATAAAATGAGAAAAGAAGAAAAAATGGACCTTGAAATCATGAGGAATGTATTTGGATCCCAGCTCAATGGTATAGTGCAAATAAAATCTACCTTGAGAGTTTGGGGGTTGATCAAATCTGTAGTCAAAACCCCAATTCACCTTTAGCTGCGTTACCTTGGTCAAGTTACTCCACCTTTCTGATGAACAGTTGCTTTATCTACAAAATGAGAATAATATCAGTAATTTACCAGGTCATTGTGAAAATTAAATGCAGTAGAGCATATAAAGAATCTAGCTCATAATGTTGTGCAATATCACAAATGTAGCATTTGAGAAGGCAGTTGTGCTGGTTACCTTTTGTTTTGTAACAAATTACTCCCAAACATATTGACTTGAAACAAAGTTTAGTGACTTAAAACAAAGACTTATTATTTTATAGTTTCTTTGGGCCAAGAATCTATGCATGGCTTAACTCACCACCTCTGGGTCTAAGGTTTCTTACAAGGCTACAACTAATATATTGGTCAGGGCAACAGTCTCACTCTAAGCCTTGACTGTGGAAGGTTCTGTTTACTCACACGGTTGTTGGCAGAATTTGGTTTCTTGCTGTACTGAGGGCCTCATTGTCCCGCTGGCTCTCTCATATTCCTAGTCATGTTGGTTTCTCCATAGGGCAGCTCAAAACATGGCAGCAAGCTTCCCAGCGAACTAACTAAAGAGAAAGAATGTCCAAGATGGAAGCTATAGGTTTTTTTTGTAATTGAACCTTAAAAATGATACTCTATGAACTTATATCACATTCTATTCATTAGAAATGAGTCACTAAATCTGGCACATACTCAAGGGCATTGGCATTACCAAGGATGTTATCAAGGGAATGAAGACCAGGAGGTGGGGATCCCTGAAGACCATCTTAGAAGCTGCTGACCACAGCAGGGTAAAGTGTGAAGAGTAAAAACATGCTCTGGAATAAGACTGTAGTCAATCCTCCTTATGAATGGAATTTCCCTGCAGGCTAAAATTTATTTGTAACTTTAAAATCAACACTCCTGGCATTTTTGTGTTCACTTGCAGGATTCTTAGAGCAGCAAAAAAATTGAGTCACTCAACACTCAACACAAGCATTCCTAGCTGAGGTGGGACAACAATGTGATCCTCTGCTTTTTCATTTCAGCTCTCAGACTGAGAACAAGTGTCCCTTTTGTGGTCTATTTAGTGTACCATATTTTTTTTCTCATTTCTATGCTTTATATTGGTGATTTTGCTGTTTAAAATGGTCCCAAAGCATAGTGCTGAAGTGAACCTAAGTAGAAGGCTGCTGTGTGCCTTATGGAGAAAATATATGTGTAAGAGGAGCTTCATTTGGGCATGGGTCACAGTGCTCTTGGCTATGCGTTCTATGTTAATGAGTCAAAGGTACATATTGAATAAGGTGTGTTTAAACAAAACACAATTAAAACAGGTTACATATTGATTGGAGGCTCAAAGGAATCTAACCATGTATTTCCTCTAGGATCAACTGTTTAATATTCACTAATTCACTGCTCATAGCCACTTTACAGAACATAACTGCCACAAATAATGAGAATTGACTGCACTTGGGTAAAATCAGCTCCACCACTTGCCCAGCTGTGCCATCCTGGGAAAGCTTCTTAACCTCTTTGTGTTTTATCTTCACTAAGAGAAAAATAGGGATAACCATAGGACCTACAGCCAACGGCTTTGGGGAGGATAAACTGTGATGTTCCTGGTACAGTAAATAGCACACAGTAAATGCTGAATAAACAGGAGATATTATTATAATTATTGTCTGAGCTCTGTTTCTTCAAGATCATAGCAAATTTTCTGTAAGCGTACTTTCTTCTATTCTGGGACAGTGTCTGGTGCAGAGTAGGCACTCGTGAACGACATGTTGAATGACATAAGAATTCTCTGATCATATTAGGTGAAAGATCTAAAGTTGGAAGAAAGCAAGTTCCTGTTTCTGGTCTCTGGGTTTGATATTACCATTGTGGCTGGCGTGGGTGGGAATGTGTGAAACATTTTAAGAACTCTCTCATTAGAACCCACATCAAGACACTAAATCTATAGTATTGACAGACTGTTGACTCACCTCCCCCAGGAACCCAGAGAATGCCCGGCAGATGGAAATGTACCCAAGACACAGAAGCAGTGGTATTTTCCCCATGTCACCAGGCGTGAGGCCAGAAGCTGATTCGGCAGTGGTATACAAAGGGATTAATCATCTGTAAATAAGTCACCTACGTTGTCTTGGAGATGATTTTTTTCATCTCTGCGTGCCAAGTCATCACCATAAGAACCGAGGTGTGACATCCATATGGCCTCTGGGCTTGGTATCTGACCCTGCTTTTGCAAGTTGCTCTTCAGGCTGTCTTTCCTCAAAATGGAAAGCATTTGGGAGCTGTCCATTACAGACTATCTCAGGGAGAGGGTGCAGGTGGATTTCAGGGGCTACCACTATTAGCCCTCTCTTAGGAAGTTAGAAATTATTCAGGAGGTTATTGGGGACACAGCTAAAGGAGGGTATGCATTATATCCTGTTTTCTTCAGGGCATCCTGATGAAGCTGTGTGACTCAGAACCAATTAATCTCTCTGAGGTTTAGTTGCCCTCATCTGTGAAATAGCATCTATTTTGCAAAGCCTATGGAAACTCACCTGGTTGAACGAGAAACTTAAGTTTATTCTCTGTGGAGTTATATCACCACCTACCCCTTCATCTCAGGGTTTAGTAATAGCTACTAACAATAGTTAACTTTAATTGAGCACTTATAACATCCCAGACATTATCTTATCTACTCTTCCCTAAACACTTTTACATTATACAGATAAAGAAACTGAGACACAGAGATGTGAAGTAACGTGTCCAAAATCACATAGTTAACAAGCGGGGGGGATGGAATTTATCCCCAGGTCCTCTGACTCCAGAGTCTGTGCTAACATCTAGCAGCTTCCATTGAAGATATCTGTATTTTCACAAGGGCATCTTGGTGATAACAAGATGCATGCTGTAAGTTTCAGGTGGTACATTCAGCTAGTGAGAAAGACACCTGCAGAAGACAGGCCCTGCAGCACACCTCTCCCATGATCACCTTCCTCTACTTGAGAGCTGACCACCCAAAATGAGATTGGAAAATTAAACTCACTCATGATTTCTTCCTTCTTAAATAAAGAGCTGTGATTAATTTGGTGTATTAAGTTGTGATTAACTCTGAGACTTTAGGGTCTCAGAGTTTATAGAGCTGAAATGCAGAGGGCAGAAGTCCCCCAAATTCCACAGACCCTCTCCCACTCCCCAGCTTCATTTTTCAGTAATGCACCATGTATCCAATACCTGCTCAGTGCCAGGGACTAGACTCAGCATCTGCTGGGCCTTGTCACTACTCTTCCCAAGAATCTCTGAGCTAGCTACAAAAAATTTCCATTTTACAGACGAGAAAGTAAAGGCAGAGCAGTTACGTGACCTCACAAGATAGATAACCAGCAATAGATAGAACTGGGGTTCATGTCCAAGGCTGCCTGGCTTCAACACCAGACCTCCCTTTCCTTACATGGTCACCCCAGAGGGCTCCCCTGATGCTGGAAACCTATGCTTTGTGCCAAAAGGCTTTATTAGTCTGACTGCTGAAACTATGGAGTGTGAAGTGTGGCTCTGGAGTGGGATGGGAGATGGATGTGCCACAAAAAACAAAATCCTCTCTGGAGACAGAGAGAAGATGTGGCCTGGAACACCAGCTCACATATATTAGGGGCTTAATGTGACTCACATTGTAAGTTACCTTTTATGACACCAAGGAGAGATGGAACTGGAAAGGTTCTTGTGCCAGAATTCCTACCTTGGATGTCAACCACAGTTTTGAAGAATGTTTCTTATCCACCTCAAAAAGGTCAACTTACAGGCCAGCACCACAAAAATCCATTCAAACATGGAAAATCTTTTAAGCATTAATACCTTGAGCTGGGAGCAAAAGAGCTGTTTTGTTTTTAAAGACACAGGACAGATTCTGACACCCAACCCTAGGGCAATTTGGCACCTACTGAACCAAAAATGGCTACAGCAGCACACACTGGTCTAAGTATAAATTGAAATAACATTCTGAAGGACAATTTAGCAATATAGCTCAAAGAGCTTAAAAATATATATAGTCTTTTATCCAGCCATTCTGCTTTTAGGATTATAGTCTAAGGAAACAATGAGATATATGCACGAATGAAATCATCACAGCATTATTTTTGTTTTATTTTACTTTTTTATAAGTTATTGGGATACAAGTGGTATTTACTTATATAAGTAAGTTCTTCAGTGGTGACTCATGAGATTTTGTTGCACCCATCACCGGAGCAGTACACACAGTACCATATTTGTAGTCTTTTATCCCTCGCCCCCTCCTACTCTTCCCCCCAAGTCCCCAAAGTCCATTGTATCATTCTTATGCCTTTGCGTCCTCATAGCTTAGATTCCACATGTTAGTGAGAACATATGATGTTTGCTTTTCCATTTCTGAGTTACTTTACTTAGAATAATAGTCTCCAGCCTCATCCAGGTCACTGCAAATGCTGTTAATTCATTCCCTTTTATGGCTGCATAGTATTCCATTGTGTATGTATATATTACAGTGTCTTTATCCACTCACTGATTGATGGGGTTTTGGGTTGCTTCCACAATTTTGCTATTGTGAATTATGCCACTATAAACATGTGTGTGCAAGTGTATTTTTTGAATAATAGATGCCCAGCAGTGAGATTGCTGAGTCAAATGGTAGGTCTACTTTTAGTTCTTTAAGGAATCTCCAGTGCTTTCCACAGTGGCTGTACTAGTTTACATTCCCACCAGCAGTGTAGAAGTGTTCCCTGTTCATCGTCTCCATATCAACATCTATTGTTTTTTGATTTTTTTATTATGGCCATTCTTGCAGGAATTAGGGGGTATCACATTGTGGTTTTGATTTGCATTTCCCTGATCATTAGTGATTCTGAGCATTTTTTTCATATATTTGTTGGCCATTTGTATATCTTCTTTTGAGATTTGCCTATTCATGTTCTTAGCCCACTTTTTGATGGGATTGTTTGTTTTTTTTCTTACTGATTTGTTTGAGTTCATTGTAGATTCTGGATATCAGTTCTTTGTCAGGTGTATAGATTGTAAAGATTTCCCCCACTCTGTGGGTTGCCTGTTTACTCTGCTGACTGTTCCTTTTACTGCATCACAGCATTATTTTAAAAAGAAAAATAATAGAAACAATCTACATGTCCATTAATAGGGATTTATTATATTACCCACCGTGACTAAGCTAGACAGGTGCTAAAAGCTCCTGACTTTCCCTCTCACTCTTGCTTCTCCCCAACAGCTCCCAATGTGGTTGATGACACCCTCATCCACGCAGATGCACCAGGCAGAAACCTGGGTGTTCCTGAACACCTCTCTATCCTTACTTCCCCTTCCCAATCAGCCACCTGATTGGGAAGTCCTGTCCCATACAATTGCTAAAGAGACCTCAAATCTGTCTCTTTTATTCTGTGCTCACTTGACACAACCTGAGTCCAAACCACCAATCCCTGTATCCTGGATACTCTTAGGTGTCCAATATCCATCCAGAGTCTCCAGTTCTAATCTCTACATACTTCTGTAGCTAAAGTTCTTTTAAAAGAAAAATCTGATGATTTCTTCCTTGCTTTCCTCTCGAAGTCTTCCCATTGTACTTGTGGTAAAAGAATTCCACCATATGCTCAATCACAAAACCCCACAGTGGGGGTCAGCAAAATTTTCTGGAAAAGGCCAGATAGTACATACTTTAAGCTTTGTGGACCCTACAGTCTTTGTAACAACTATTCATCCCTGCCAGTGTGGTGTGAAAACAACCACAGAAATTATTTAAATCAATGGATGTGGCTCTGTTCCAATAAAATTTTATTCACAAAAACAGGTGGGGTGCTGGATTTGGCCCCTGGGCTGCTGTTTGTCAATACTTGTCCTGTGGGATCTGGCTTCTATTTTTCTTCCTAATTTCCACAAAGCCACTTCACCCCCATCTAGTCACTGTCTCCTCATCAAGACCTCAGGCAAGCTATTCCCCAACCAGCAATTTTCCTTTCTGTTCCCAGCCTGCCCTACTCTACCCCTCTAGGACCAGCACATTGACCTCTGGCCAGCAGTTTCTCACTATTCCAGTCTCACCTTCAGAGTTTTCCTTTTAGGTGCACTCCCTACATCCAGGCTAGGTTAGGATGTCCCATTCTTCCAGAAAACTTCATACTTGTTCTTTGCTGAGCTTGTCAAATTTGAGATTAAATAATTCTTAATGCAGTTGTGTGTTTCTATGTCACTTCTGCTAGACTCAAAGTTCTAGGAGATAAGGAATTATGCAAATTATTGAACACGAGTATATTCGTAGTTCCTGGCATGGTGTCTGACACATACAAAATGCATTAAATATTTGTGGAAATAAAAATATTTGTTGACTGAAAAAATGTGATCACAAAACTAGAAAAAAAGGCCTGAACAGATATACTGAAATATTAGGAGATAAGTATATAGGTGATTTTTATTTTTTTCTTATACTTTCTTCCATTTTTCAAATGTTTCACAAAAAGCATATATTATTAGTCTACTCAGAAAAATAATGAATGGAGAGAGAAAGAAAGCTCTGCTTCTGTGTTCAAATAACCTGTGCAACAAGCCCATTTTTGGCACACTCTACATGTGGAACCATCATCCTTTCTCTGCTTATCCAGAGCTGCTTAATAAGCCCCTCTACTTCCATTCTTATTGCCTTTATCTGGTCATTCTTCATTTTCTATAGGTCACTTCCTCAGATCCAGGAGCATCTGTGTATCTTGGTAGTGATCTGAATTGTGCCACTGCTTCTATTCCTGTGGCAGATGGGCACTAGTGTACATATACCCACACAGCCTAATTGGCCATCGAGGGCTTTCCAATGCCAAGTTTAGGAAGGGGTTAAGAGATTAACTGCTGCCATGTGAAATGACAAGCACTGGCAGTTTTGCAATGCAGAAGCTGTCCATGCAGATGGGAAGTGGAACAGCTAACTTATTCATTTCACTCACCAACAGCTCAGCTTCCAACATCTGGTCATTTCCATGCCAGGCTGGTCTCCAAGTGGTACACGGGGGCAGCAGGCCACATGGCCACCATGTTCCAATTTACTCATCCGATAATTCCCTCCACATTCAAGAGGAAACCAATGAAGATGAGACTAATTATTATCTCCAAATAGAGATAGCATTTTGGTCACCTTCCAAAAAAATCTATGTGGGTAGAATAAGAAGGGAGTTAATGATTGACAGAAAATGTGTGTGTTATGTAATGGATTATAGGCCTACAAAGAAGTAAAAGATCTATCACTGACTTTGACTTTTTAAAGTTCCAGATTGGATGCATATTCAACATAATCCCATAGAAAGATAAGCAACAACACAAGGTAAGATAAATAGCAGCCTTAATTGTCCAACAAGTGATAGTGACAGTTAGTGACATGACAGTCACATTCCTTCCAGTTCTGTGAAAGTCAAGGCCATTATTTCACATTCTTAAATTTCATGGCATATCTGAGTGTTATTGGCTATAATTAACAGAAAACCCCGACTTAAGGACTTAAGTAAGAAAGGAAGTGTCGTTTCATATTTGAAGTCCAGAAACAGAGCAGGGGTTGGTAACCTAGCAACTCACAAAGTCATCCTGGATCCTGCTTTTTCCATCTCTTCACTTGGCCATCAAAGACTGTTTCAGCCTCATACCTGGAATTAAAATAGCTGCAGCAATTATAGGCATGACAATCTTTTCTTATGGTCTTCTGTTTGGAATGAGGAAACTCTTTTTGGAAATCCTCCAGCAGATTCCCCTGATGTGTCATTGGCTGGAGTTGGGTCATTAGCCCCATGAGCCAATCTCTGGTACAGGGATAAAGATGACCCTTGGACCAATTAGACTTACCAGTGGAGCTGGCTGTAGGGTCAGCTTCTCCTGAAACATGTGGTTACATGGGCGATGGCTTTGCTAGAAAGGAAAGAAAATGAATTCTAAGCAGCCAACCAGTACTGTCTATCACTCATGGATAATTTCAAGGTGAGAAACATTTCACACCTGCAGAATCTGGTATTGCAATGACCTTTCCAGCTTCGTCTCTCACTATGTAGGTCTCCATCAGACACCCTAGACTACTAAGCCGGCTGTGATTCTCTCAATTCTTCAAGAGCAATGTGCTTTCTCAAACCACCCTGGAATGAATTACTTCTGTTTCTCAACTGTAGGCTAATTATACATTGTTGTTTGCCCAGAATCGTCTTGCGTCCTGGTTTACACTGGTTATCTTTGTATTATTACTAATAGTGACCCTTTTTCATAAGCCTTCCAATTTGGATAAGAACATGAAAAATATTTAGGAAAGAGAAGGGAAGTGTTCGGGGATTGGTTGTGGAGAGTCAAGGAAAGAAAGCAGTTTAGGATGACTCTCAGGCATCTGACTTGGGAGGTTGGGTAGGTAGAAATAGAAGTCATCAAAACAGGGAATCAAAGAGGGGAAATTATTTTGGAAATTATTAACATTATAAGATGTTAATGAGTTAAATGTTGGACTTAGGACATAACTGGGTACAGATGATCAGGTAAATGTTAACTATGTAAGTTCAGAATTCAAGAGAGAAAGACATTATCTGGTGACAGAAATGTGTGAAATAGGATCACCCTGTAATCCCGGCACTTTGGGAGACGAAGGCGGGTGGATCACTTGAGGTCAGGAGTTTGAGACTAGCCTGTCCAATATGGTGAAACCTCATCTCTACTAAAAATATAAAAATTAGCTGGGTGTGGTGGTGTGCGCCCGTGGTCCCCACTGCTTGGGAGGCTGTGTGGCAGAGGCTGCAGTGAGCTGAGATTGTGCCAATACCCTCTAACCTGGCCAACAGGGCAATAATCTGTCTTAAAAAAAAAAGGCAATGTGTGAAATAGCATCTAGATACCTGAAGAAGTAGTATCTAGATACTTGAAGTCATGAATATGAAAGAGATGACCCAGAAGAAATGCAGAATTAGAATGTGCCCATGGTAAGAGTCCTGGTAAGACCAACATTTAGAAGTTGTAAAAATGGAGAGAAAGCAGTGATGCAGACTAGGAAAGACTGACCAGAGAGAAAATTGGGGAATCAGGAGAGTAAAGGCATGGACGCCCAGGAAAATGAGAATTTCAAGAGGAAAGCAATAGTTGGTGAAGTCCCTAGTGTTACAGAGAGCTCAGATAAGGTAAAGATCAAAGAGAGTATATTGACATAGGAATTCATTGGCCACCTTTCCTGGAGCATTCAGAGAACAGCATAGAATTATATCATTTTAGTATGAAAGACGACGTCATTAACAACCTAGTTTTTTATGAGAAAATGCTGTTTTCACAGGTTAATTAAGATTTAGTGGCAGAGCCTAGACTAAAACTGCCAACACTTGACTCATCATTCATGGAGTTGGCCTATCACATTGTGCTGTCCCTTTCTGTGTGCTGAAACTGCAGAGATTGGTGAAAGCGGGAAGCAGGCGGGATCAACACACATCAGTCTCCAAGAATCTGGAAAACAAAGTGACTTCCTTTTCTCCCCATCTTCACTACTGCTACCTTGGCTGCGGCCACGATCACAACACACCTGGACTGCTGCAGTCGCCTCCCGACCGATCTCCCTACTACCTCCAGTCCACCCTCCTCACATCAGAAACGCATCATATACTTCTCTGCTTAAACCACTTCAAGGAAGCACCAAGGCAGTTCAAAGAGCGAAAGGAGCTGGCACAGAAATAACTGGATAAACATCTGAAAAAAAAAACAACTAACCACTGTAATGGCCAAAAATACAATTTAAAATGAATCATAAATCCAAACATAAAAACTAAAAGTGTGCTGTGCTGTTTCTATTATAAAACTTAAGAACGTAATCCATAACCTCGGCAAAGGCAAAAATTTTTAGATGCAAAACAAAAAGCACTCATCATTAAAGGAAAAAAAATGGACTTCATCAAGATTAAAAGCTTAATGATCATCAGTTAAGAAAATGGAAGAGGCCAGGCACGGTGGCTCATGCCTGTACTTCAGCACTCTGGGAGGTCGAGGTGGGTGGATCATGAGGTCAGGCAGTTGAGACCAGCCTGGCCAAGATAGTGAAACGCTGTCTGTACTAAAACTACAAAAAGTAGCCAGGCATGGTGGCACACACCTGTAATTCCAGCTACTCGGGAGGCTGAGGCAGGAGAATCACTTAAACCCAGGAGTCTGAGGTTACAATGAGCCAAGACTGCACCACTGCACTCCAGCCTGGGCAAGAGAGCAAGACTCCATCTCAGAAAAAAAAAAAAAAGAAAAAAAGGAAAGAAAATGGAAGAAAGTCTTAGACTGGGGGAAAATGTTATTTTATATATATATATATATATATATATATATATATATATATGCTTGTATTTCAGAATATATAAAATCATTTTACAAATCAATAAATAAAAGACCAAAACCTCAATTAAAGAAACTTTACAAGACACATCACTAAAGAAGACATATGTAAGGACAGAAAGCAAATAAAAAGGTGCTCTAAGTCATTAATTATCAAGGAAAGGTAAATTAACATTTTAATGAGCTACTATCTCATACCCTCATGGCTAAAATTAAAAAGGACAGACAATCCAAGTGTTGACAGGGGCTTTGGAAGCAGCTGGAACTTTAATACATTGCTGTGTGGAGGGCAAAATGGCACATCTACTTTGGAATGCTGTGGGAAGTTTTTTATAAATATGTACCTATCAGAAAAAAAAAACAAAATTAGAAGACTTATACCACACAATTTCAAGAATTACTATTGTAATCAAACAGTGTGATAATGGTGTAAGGATAGACATATGCAAAAATGATACAGAATAGAGCATCCAGAAATAGAATTACTGTATATGGTAAATTGGTTTTTGATGAAGGTGTGAAAGAAATTTAATGAGGAGCCGGATAGCTTTTTCAATAAATGGTTCATGAACAAGTGGATATACATATACAAATGTGAACATCACATCATATACAAAAATTAACTCAAAGTGGATCATAAATCTAATCATAAAACTAAAATGATAAGACTTCTAGAAGAAAACCTTGTGACCTTAGGTTCGGGAAGGATTTCTTAGGACATAGACATTAAGCATAAAAGAAAAAAAAATGATAAATTAGACTTCAGCAAAATAAAAATAAATTGCTTTATAAAATATACCATTACAAAACTGAAAATACATGCCACAAACTGGGAGACAATATTGGCCAAACATATCTCTGATAGAGAGGTATGTTTGTATACAAAATATAGAAAGAATTTTCAAAACTCATTAACAAGAAAGTAACGTCATTTTTTTAATGTAAAAAGATTTAAGCAGACATTTCTCCAATCTATGAAAATGATACTAAGCATATGAAAAACTGCTCAATATCATTAGTCATTAGGAAAATGCAAAATAAAACCAAGTGAGAAAAACGGCAAAGTAAGCTTCTTTGAAAATTCTCTCCTCTGTAAAAGGAATGAGAAAGCTCTTACATATTGCTGAGCATCTAAGAAATCATGTGCATGGCATTGTGCCAGGAAAGGCCTGCGAAGGGCCTAAGCTCTCACTTCTTGCTGACCATGAGGCTCTATGCAAGAGGAAATTGAGGGCTGAGGTGGAGCCGTCAACTGTCTTGCTAAGTGTTCAGAGCATGTTCCTGTATTCGCACACAGCTGCTTTGCAAAGACTGGGTGACTTATCGGTTCTAGGCACTTAAGACAATATTTGCACAGTCATTAGCTGTCCAGTAAGCTAATTAAGCAGTGACTTCAGTGGCCACCCTCAACAAAGAATGCAGATTTGATAGAAGTAGGTCATAAAAGTCATTAAACAAACAATAACTACAACGGAAAGCAGCAGCAACAACAACCCTAGAAAGGGGAGTGAAACTGATTTCCAGAGCTGCTGCATTATGTTATTTAAAATATACGGTTTTCAACAAAAATTATGTAATATTTAAAGAAATAAGAAAATATGACCGATATGCATGGAAAAAAGCAATCAATAGAAACTCTCTGAAAAATCACAGATATTAGACTTACTAGACAAAGAATTTAAATCAGTTATTTTAAATGTCTTTAAAGAACTAAAATATGCCACGTCCAAAAAAACTAAAGGAAATCATGAGACTAATCTCTCACCAAATAGAAACTATCACTAAAGAGAAATTATGTAAAAGAACCAAATACAGGTTCTGGAGTAGAAAAGTATAACAACTAAAGTGAAAATCCACCCGAGGGGATCAATCACATATTTGAACTGGCTGAAGAAAGAATTAGCAAATATGAAGATAGGTCAATTGAAATTACCCAGTCTGAAGAATGAAAGAAAATAGAATGAAGGAAAATCAACAAGACATCAGAGACCCATGGGATAACACCAAGCATACCAAGAGATGCAAAATGGGAGTGGGAGTAAGGTAGGTAAGGGATAGAAAGAGTATTTGAAGAAATAATGGCCAAACTTACCAAATTTTATGAAAAAACAAAACAAACAAACAAAAAACAACAATAACCTACATATCCAAGAAGCTCAACAAATTCCAAGTAAGATAAACTTCAAAGAGACTGACACTTAGACAAACCATAATCAAATTGTCAAAGCCAAATCAAATAACATTCTACTACACACTAACTAGAATGGTCAAAATTTATTTATTTTATTTTATTTTATTTTTACTTTTAGTAGATAATGGGGTCTCTCTCACTCAGACTGGTCTCAAACTCCTAGGCTCAAGCAATCCTCCTGCCTTAGCCTCCCACAAAGTGCTGTGATTACAAGCATGCGCCACTGTGCCTGGCCTAGAATGGCCAAAATTTTAAAAGTCCCCTGGAACTCTCTGGCATTCCTAGTGGAAATGCGAAATGAAAAGCTATATAGGAATGTATTTCTCACTTTCATATAAGTTAACATATACATATACTTAGCACATAACTAAGCAACTTCACTCTTAAAAATTATATTTAAATGTTTATAGCAACTTTTTTCAGAACAGCCCCAAACTGAAAACATCCTAAATGTGTATCAACTGATAAATGAATGGATGAACAAATGGTAGCATATCCATACAATGGAATACTACCCAGCAATTTAAAGGTATGAACTAGTAACACATGTATCAACATGGATAAATATCAAAAGCATTATAAGTAAAAGAAGTGAGACATAAAAGACCACATAACCATATGATTTCATTTATATACAAAAGTCTAAGAAAGGTAAAACCATGATGACAGAAAGCAAATCAATGACTGCCAAGGACAACAAGCTGGGGAAGGACATTGATTGCAAAGAGGGATGAGAAAATTTGGGGGATGATGTAAAAGTTCCATATTATGATTGTGGTGATTGTTACACACTGCATGTATTTGTCAAAACTCATCAAGTAATTTACTTAAAATAAGTAAATTTTATTGTATGTAAATTATACCTTAATAAAGCTAATTAATTCAAAACATAAAAGGAAACGATCATATACCTACTTGGTGATCCAGCAATTCCACTCCTAGTTATTTATCCAGGAGAAGTCCTCAGAAAAACTTGTATAGAAATGTTTATAGCGGCTTTATTTATAATGGCCAAAATCTGGGGGCTGGAGGAAGCCCTTCAACAGAAGAATGGATAAGCCAATTATGGACATTTATACAATAGAATGTTACTTAGCAATACAAAG